GACTATTTTCTTGTTTTTGTCCATTTTTGTTACTGTGTTACCAATCGTCTTGTGGAAATTATGCAGTATTCTGTAAACTTTAATTATGAGAACTGTTTGAAATATCATTGCCAAATGATTTTTCCTAGTTTGTATGTTTTCTTTTTATTCTTTTGGGAAAAGTTACTGGTGCAAACATAAATTTGACTTTTTGAACGTCCCATTTATTAATTTTATTCTCTCTTATTTGTATGTTTCTGGCTATGGTTACAAGCTGAATTATGCCATAGACTGAGGTTTCTAAGTTTGGGCCCATTTTGTCTCTTACTATCTTTATGGCATTGGATTTTATCCTTAGGTGTCTGATCAACCTGAGTTGGTTTGTACGCTCTGTGAAATGTGGATCTTATGTCAGTTTTCTGCTAGCAGATGTTCACTTTTGCCAGCACCATTTATTGAAGAGGCTATTGTTTTCCCATTTGATAGGTTTTGTAATTTTGCCAAATGCTAGTTGAGTGCTGGTAGGTAGATGGGTTGCTGATTTCTGGGTTGTTAATTCTATTCCATTGGTCTGCATGTTTGCCATTATACCAGCACCATGCTGTTTTGGTTACTATGGCTGTGTAGTAGGTTTTGAGATCTGAAAGTGCTGTGGCTCCTACTTCATTTTTATTTCAGAAGTGCTTTGCTTATTCAGGGTTGCTTTTCTTTCCACATAAACCTGCCAGGTTCTCTTTCTAGCTCTTTGAAGAATAAGTTTGGTGTTTGTATTGGGATTGTGTTGAACATGCAGGCAGATTACTTATGGTTGAATTGTCATCTTCACTGTTGAGTCTTCCTATCCACAAACAAGGAATATTTACCCATTTAATTAGGTTTCTTATTGCTTCTAGTTGTTGTTATGTACCATCGAGTTGCCTGCGACCCATAGCAGCCCTGTCTATGTAGCCTATCTATGCAGCCCCATCTGAAGCCTGCCCTGTCCTTAGCCAGTCTCACTAATTCCGATACACCAACCTCCATTGCCCTAGTCAGTCTCAGTCCATCTCACCCAGGGTCTTCCTCTCCCTACACTCTCTCCACCCTTCCACACATGATACCCTTCTCTAAGGACCAGTCTCTCCTAGGCACATGCCCAAAGTATGTGAGATGAAATGAAGCTTTGAAATCCTAGTCTCCAAGGAGAACTGGGTTTCACCCTCTCCAAGACAGACCTATTTGTTTTCTTGGCAGTCCTTGGTATGTTCAAGACTCTTCTTCAGCACCACAATTTGAAGGCATTGATTTTTCTTCTGTCATCTTTAGTCATTGTCCAGGTCTCTGATGCATAGCAAGTAATTGCGAAGACCGTGATCTGGATTAGGCACACCTTAGTGTTGTTGCTTTTCAGCACCCTGGAGAGATCCCTGGCAGCAGATCTTCCTAGT